CATCATTCCATCATGCAGGAGGAGCCACATGTCTATGGTGCATCAACAAAATAAGCAGATCTTGGATGTCACTACCGCCCGGTCCGGCTGGGTTACAAAGTATCTTGGCAGATAAATCGCCACCAACCAGATGTAGAAAAACGAAATGTAAACTTTGCCAGATGGACTATTTTACCACCTTGGCGTCTTATGACTGGAGTGTGATCAAATTAATGAATTTAGAAACATGTCACTCAGAAGTGTTCAAGAAATGGCAAAGTATTTTATCCACAGTGGTATATTACAGACCATTCTGGAGAAATACCCTGGACTTGCTAGCTGTAAATAATGCATTACCATGTGAGTTAGTTTGTGTGTGTGTGCGTGGCGTGTGTCTGTGTCTGTGTCTGTATCTGTAACTCACTATTTTGTACTCACCTATTTGTGGTTTCAGGGGTCGAGTCTTTAGCTCCTGGCTCCGCCTCTTCACCGGTTGCTACTGGGCCCTCTCTCTCTGTTCCATGAGCTTTGATTCACAGGTACCTCTACTCGTCCCTCTGTACAACTCAGTACAGGACTGTACCCCCATCTAAGTGATATGATATAGTCTTTTAAATCCCCACTGTGCACTGTCTCCCTTGCTTACATTGATACTGTAATGAATAGTATCCTCACCTCTCTCGATATACCTTCCAAATTCGTGGCTCACGGCTTGTTTCTGTGTCCACCCACTCCTGATGGAACTCTCCTGTTCATTTGTCATGTCTATTCCGCGCAGATTTTATATGTTTCCGTTATCATGTTACCCTGACCCTTCTGTCCTTTATTGTCGTAGGCCGATTTCCCTTAACTTTCTTCATAGGACATTCCCTTAGCTCTGGAACTAACCTTTGTTCGCAAACCTTTGTACGTTTCTTTGTTTCTTGACGTGCTTTATCAAGTGGAGTGGTTTCCAATATTGGTGTGCATCTACTCAGTTATGGGGCCAGACATAAACGGTTACAGTTGTCTGAACGATTCCTTATTAAGGTATCGGAAAGCTGTTTCTCAGGTTTTGCCAGGCGCCCATAACCCTGCAGCAGTACTGGTTGATGTGTGCTTCCGGAGACATGCTCGGGTTCCATGCTCATCCCAAGATCTTTCTCCTTGAGTGGGTTTGCAGTCTTTGGCTCACCTAGCCTATACTCTGTCTGTGGTCTTCTGTGCTTCCCTTCTACATGACCCTTTCCATTTGGCGGGATTAAATTCGAGAAGCCGTTGCTGGGACAGGGTGTCCAGTTGTCCAGGTCTCTTGAAGTCCTAGCGGTCCTTCATTGATTTAATTCTCCTCATTAACTTCCATCGTCTGCGAAACTAGGACAGTCTGAGTCTAACCCTTCCATCCTGTCGTTTCACCATATACAAAAAAGCATGTGTTGTTAGGACCGACCCCTGAGGGACCCGTCATCACAGAGTGCCCACTGTGAAGCATCAATTACATCATGATCGTTGTTGCCTCCCTGTCAGGTATTTCTGATCCATTGCAGTGCACTTCTGTTATATGAACCTGATCCTCTGGCTTCTGCACTAATCTCTTGTGAGGAACAGTGTCAAAGGCACCTTTTGCAGTCTAAGAAGATGCATTCAACCATCCCTCTCTCTCATTGTCTTACTTTGTTACTTTATATAAAAAACTCAGAAGGTTTGTGACCACAGTGATTTTCCTTCCATGAATCCTGCTGGTTGGCGTTTATACTCTTGTTCCATTCCAGGTGCCTCCAACATTTTCCTCCTGATAACTCTTCTCCATAACTTTGCATACTATACACGTCTGTGACACAGGGGTCTATAGATTGTGCCTCTTTTTCGTCTCTTTTTTAAAAATGGAGAAACTACATTGCCATCTTCCATACCTCAGGTAGTTGCCCAGGTTTCAGGGACGTGTTTGAAGATTGTGGTATATGTGGCACACACAAACATATCCACGCCCTCTCTAAGGACCCACGGGGAGATGTTGTCCGGCCAATTGCTTTTGAGTAATCGATGTCCCGTAGCAGTTTCTTACCTCCTCCTCATCTGTTTTGTATGTCATCCAACACTTGTTGGTTAAATTCCTTGATTGGTGTACCCATCTGGTCTGTCCCCGCAAAGGCCCTTCTATCTCCCTGTTAATACTTCCTTAAATCCATGTTGAGTCCCTCACATACCTCTTGATCGTTTCTTTGTGAGTTCTCCCTTCTTCCTAGCCTTATCACCTGGCTCTTTGACTGTTGTTCCTCTCCTAATGTGGCTATTACAGCAGTTTCGGGTCAGACTGACTTTCGACGCTATGCCGTTTTCGTACTGTCGCTGGGCCTCCCTCCTTATCTTTTGCATACTCGTTCTGGCTCTTCTGCTAATCTCCTTATTTTCCTGGGTTTTTTGCCTCCTGTACCTTTTCCATTCTCGGGGTGCACTTAGTTTTTGCTCCCTACACCTTCGGGTAAACCAAGGACTCACTTTGGTCTTCCTATTATTTCTTTTTCCCCTTGGGAACAAAACTTTCCTCTGCCTCCTTGCATTTGTTGCTATATATTCCTTCATCCGTTTACTGATTTTCCTACCAGTTCTCTGTCCACTGAACCTCCTGCAGGAGTTCCTCATCCTGTGTAGTCCCCATTTTGTAGTTTGGCTTTTCCCATTCAATTCCTATTACCTTTTCCGCTTGTAAACTCTACTATATAATCAAAATTCAGAACCACGTGATCGCTAGCTCCAAGGGGCCTCTCGTAAGTAATGTCCTCAATATCTGAACTGTCAGGGTGAACACGAGATCCAGTCTTGCTGGCTCATCCCCCCCTCTCTCTCTGGTTTGTCCCTGACATGTTGATGGATGAGGTTTTCAAGTACCACTTTCCTTCATCTTGGTCTCCATGTTTCAGGACCCCCATGTGGCTCCAGGTTTTCCCAGTCGATCTTCCTGTGGTTGAAATCGCCCATTACCAGTAACTTTGCTCTGGCTGAGTGAGCTCTTCTTGCCACCCCCAGCCGGGTGTGTCCCCATCGCCTGTTGTTTTCTTCGTACTCCTCTCTTGGCCTCCTGCAGTTCTGTGGTGGGTTATACATCACTCCAATGACTACTGTTGTTCTCCAGACTGAATTGTACCTACTATGTAGTCTCTTTCTCCAATCACGCCCATGCCTTCCATTTCCTCAAATCCCCATCGGTTTTTTATGAGCAGTGCATCTCCTCCTCCCCTCTACTCCTTCTGTCTTTTTTCAGGATTGATATCCGGTGGGAAGATTGCGTTCGTTATTGTCTCAGCGAGTTTTGTTCTGTGACTGCTATGATGTTGGGGATTTTCACTGATTCTTTCGTGCACTCCTCATGTTATTCGTTATTCCGTCCGCGTTTGTGTTCCCAAAACTTTCAGCTTCTTTTCTATCACTGTGGTCCTACAAGAATATTGGGGTTGGGGGAGCAGGAGCCTTGGTGGGGGCCTATGGGGGGCTGTGACTGCGCCCTCGTGTGTGTGCGTGTCGTGTGTGTGTATCACCCACTTAATATTTGTATTTATAACTCATTATAAAGGATAGGAGTGTAGATAGTTCATTGTCTTTGTAACTTGCCATTATTGTGACCAGATCTACCTGGAGTTCATTACCTTTGTAAATAGTTCAGCTATCATAACTTTGGGGCCCAGTCCCTGGATTGGGCCCCAAAGTTATCTCTGTAATCTTTTGACTACCGCCCACAGGATGGGTATGAGGTGCATAATAAACATATTAAACTAACTAACTAGGCCTGTATACCATGTACATATATTTGTAAGAATAAAGATATTATTATTAAAAGTGTTTACAGTGAGGCATATAAGTGAACAGTATTTAAATAATGGTAAAGAGGTTTTTCATTGCATTTATGAATTTGGGTGGATAGTAATGTGCCAGATGTTGCAAATGTATAGCATAAGTGATAGGATACTGTAAACAGTTAAGGATATGAGGCTTTGGTTAGTGTATGTATGAGAGAGAGAGAGAGAGATTATTTCCCAGTAAATGTAGGTTTTAGACAGGGATGCATGATGTCACCTTGTTTGTTCACTTTATTTGTAGATGGTGTTATGAGAGAAGTGAATGCTCGAGTGTTGGCTAGAGGTGTAGGACTAAAAGATAAAGAATCTAACACAAAGTGGGAATTGTCACAGATGCTTTTTGCTGATGACACTGTGCTTTTGGGAGATTCTGAGGAGAAGTTTCCGTGGTTAGAGAACGAGTTTGGAAGCATATGTAAAATAAGGAAATTAAAAGTGAAGATAGGTATGGACAAGGTCATGAGGATAACAAAAAAAAAAAAATAGGAAATGAAAGACTGGATTTCAGATTAGAGGAAGGAAGTGAGGAGGAAATAAATGTGTTCAGATATTTGGCAGTGTATTTGTCAATAAATGGGTCTATGAAAGACGAGGTGAATCATAAAACTGAGAGTATCGTGGTACCAACGCTCTTATATGGGTGTGTAGCATGAGTGGTGAATGTTGCAACAAGCAGAAGGCTGGAGCAGTGGAGTCGTCTTACCTCAGGGCAACGTGTGGTGTTAATATTTTGCAGAGAATCCATATTTTGGAGATTGGGAGTTGCAGGGTTTCTAAAAGTATGATCCAAGGCTAAAGACGACTTGGAGAATGTATAAATCTGTAGTGGAAGGAAGGTGGGGTAGGGGGTCATCCTTGGAAGGTTGGAGGGGGGGGGTAAAGGAAAGGGTTTTGTGTGCGATGGACTCGGATTTTCCCGCGAGCATTCTTTCTTCTTCACAATATATTTTTCATTGTCCATACTTTCCCCGTCGCCCATTGTTGGGCCTTAACCTGTGAGTCCCTTTTAGTTCTAGTTCTATTAGAAAAGGAAAGTCAGATCAGTTAAACTGTCTGAGGTTGTGTTTCCACAACTATTTTGTTTCAAAAACAGGAAATGACCTGAAGTTTCCGGGGTCTCTTACTGGTGGATGGTTTTGTCACTGCTGCCTCGTAGCCTGAAGCCCTCTTCACCTGGCTTTTTGGTGAGTGACGACCATGCTCGCTGCCTTCTGCCAAAGCTACACGCTGTTGTAAACTCCTCTCTACCTCAACTTTTCTACCTCCGTGAGTATTTTACAGTGCCTTGTTTTACTGTAGAGCAAATTGAGTGCTAGTAGTGGTGCTAGAGGTGGTGTAAGTTGTGGACTGTGTCCTAGTATCTTACTAATTGTAATGCTGTAACTGTTGGTGCTAGTGCTGGTAATAATGAAAGTGCCTTGATTATTAACATGTGGGATGATGTTGCTGGTGATGCTAATTGCACCTCCTGTGGTGTAATGTCTACTGCCTTAATGTGTGATGTTACTGGTGGTTCGTTTGGTAGTGTTAGTGATGATGTTACTATTAGTGCTACTGGTGGAGCTAGTGGTATATTGTACCGTGACTTCTCATGTGTGATAATGTTACTTTTTGTGTTATTAGTTACAATAATAATATAATTAGTGTTATTAGTGGACTGTGTCCTGATGTCTAATGTATGACAGTGTTACTTGTGCCAGTGCTGGATAGCATCTTATCTCTCCAAATGTGAATGGGTTATTAGTAGTACTATTGATAATGCTGTTGATAGTGATGGATATAGTGGATTGTGTCCTATCTCTTACTGTATGTGAAGACGTTGCTGGTAGTGCTGTTGGTGATGGGGGGGAGTATAATGACGTTACTGGTAGTGCTACTGGTGGTGAAGGAGGAATGTGATGGATTTACTGGCGGTGTAGTTGGTGTTGATGTGTTCACATAAACACTGGTACTGGTGATGAACTGTCTCCTGTTTATTTCTATTTGATGGTGTTACTGGTGTAGATATTTGTGGTCTCTGTTTCTCTGGGTTAGTTTAATAGGTTAGCTGCGTCCACATCAACGCAGATAAAAAAACAGAACTGTATATTATCGGAATGTCCGAAACTTTGTCGAGAAAGGAGTGCAGAAAGATGGTGAAATCAACCATATGTTCTTCAGTGAGTATTCTTGGACTTTATCAGGTCATTATCAGGGAATAATGTTGCTCAAAGAATTTTTTAATTTGATTAAATATGAGACTTCGCCAATTAGATGTGTCAGGGCGCCACCACATAATTAAGATGTGTTTTTCTCCATCACGTGCATGGAGGCAGTAAGTCTTTATGGTGCGACAAGTCACACGTTCCTGGACCATCACTTTTTCTTAAATGCTGATGAATGGGGTTTCGAAGCCCTATAATACCACTGTTTCATCTTGTCCTGGGTTTTCTTAAAGTTATCCTTAAAGTGCTAGGCGTATTTACCTTGGGATCATATAAAGCCTTCGTAGTGTCTTCTAGTCAATCCTCTTTACATTATGTTTAAATATCAGCTCGAACGGACTGTATCTGGTAGACTCCTGCACGGTCTTTCACAGCAAAGTGCATCAAAAGCAAGGACTCACGCAGTCTCTAGGAAAATGCAGACAAGTACGCATCATAGTTTTGAAATTTTGTTGGTACTTTTCCAGCATCCCATAGTAATATAATATAATACCTTTATTTACTGCAAGTACATGTACATGGTATACAGACCATAGTTGACATCAATGACATACTACTACGATTTCTTAAGTCATGTTGACGGCAGTGAAGGGACTTGAGCTAGAGTTCGTCACGGCCACGCTAGCTGGAGATTCGTCTGTAAAAACTTGCATTTGTGGTCACAGAGGTGCCTGTGCTAACTTTCCTATGGTGTAGAAATATACCTAGTTGGATGAATCTTATTGTGGCTAGCTGGTCTAGTGGCTAACGCGACGGGCTGGAGTTTTGAGACTCTATGACCGCGGGTTCAATCCCGGCCGGGGGTATGGTTTACATACTACTATATAGAAAGCCGCTTGTTATGCTGAGCATATCGGGCAAATTAGGTCAATTTTGTCCCAGGATGCGACCCACACCAGTCGACTAACACCCAGGTGCCCATTTTATACAGATGGGTGAACATGGACAGTAGGCGTCTTAAGGAAGCACGTCCTAATGTTTTCCAGCCGTACCGGGTATTCGATCTCCGGACCCCAGTGTGTGAGCTGAATGCCTAGCGATCGAGGGTGTTCTTAGGATTAAAATTAGGATTGGTTAGAAGTATGAGTTTAGGAAGGGAAAATAATGAGTGTGGACATTTTGATTTAGGATTGCATTTCAAATCTTAAGGATAAAAGAAATCACAGAAATTATAGAAAAGCAAAATTGAATAGGAAAAAAAGGTGCACAAGAAAAAACGTATTAAAGTATTTTATGCTAACAGTCGAAAAGCTAGAAATAAAATTGAAGATTGAGACACTTATGCAGCATATGGGAATCTTTATTCAGGAAACGTTTCGCCACACAGTGGCTTCATCAGTCCAATACAAAGAGGAAGGCGTAAGGAGAGGAGGAGAATGAGGTAATCAGTCCCTCAACCTGGAGTCGATGTGTTCAGTCCATCGACTCCAGGTTGAGGGACTGATTACCTCATTCTCCTCCTCTCCTTACGCCTTCCTCTTTGTATTGGACTGATGAAGCCACTGTGTGGCGAAACGTTTCCTGAATAAAGATTCCCATATGCTGCATAAGTGTCTCAATCTTCAACATGTCGGTTTTTCAAACCATTCATCAGAAATAAAATTAATGAATTACGTTCGGTAGCTTGTGCAGGAAACTTTGATGCTGTTGCAATAACGGAATTATGGTGACTCACGAAATCGTAATGACAAGATTACAAACAAACCGTGGTACATGTGGGACTAGAACTTGCGGTGAGTGAGTCTTAAAACTGTATACCAGCGAGTGTTATTTAAAAAGTCAGGAGATGATTGCCGAGTGTCATGAAGATAGATTTAATGGAAATGGGGGGGGGGTGGAGTAGCATTATATGTACGAGAAAAAGTAAAATGTTACATAAAAACAGATATAAAAACGGACGAATTAGTTACATAATCTGTTAGGGTAGAATTTCTAGAAAGTCAGGAAAAACTAATTTTGGGAGTCATATACCGACCTTCAGGCTAAGAAAGCGACAGAGGGAGACTCCTTTGGGAAGAAATTGTTAGGGCTTCTTGACACAATAACAGTAATAGGAGATTTTAACTTATGTCAAACTGGCTGGACTTCTTTGACTGGTAATCTTGAGTCCAGTGACTTTATGAAAGTAGTTCAGGACTGTTATCTGAAGCAGTGTGTAACAGAGCCTACCAGGGGTAATAATTTGCTAGACCTAGTCTTGTCAAATAAAGAAACCCTAGTAAATAATCTGGAGATCACTGAAGAGCTTGGCGCAAGTGATCATAAATCTATTACCTTTAATATTACCTGGGAATATGAGAATAAGGGGTAATGCGGTTAAAGTCCCCGATTTTCGTTCTGCCAATTAGAAAACAACCGTCAGATCTCGGCTGGGATAATCTAGCTAATGATTTTATAGACGATGGTCATACTTACGATAGTGAAGGGATCTGCATTTATGAGTATTTTCTTAATGTACAACGTGCCCAAAGTATATATATATATTCCCCAGAGGAAAAAATTGGGTCAGATAAGAAAGATCCCAGATGGATGAATAGGAGACTAAAGTAATTTTAGGCGCATCAAAAGAGGAGAGGTTAACCTTATTGACCAATACATTCATTTTAAAAGAGAATTAAGTTTAAAAGGGGATTAGAAAGGCTAAACGTGACTATGAAATTAAAGTTGCTAACGAATCAAAGACTAATACAAAAAGGTTCTTTCTAGTGTTGAGGATGAAGGTCAGGGAAAAAGTAGGACCTCTGAGACCTGGGGATGAACAGCTGTCTGATAACGAGCAGGAAATGTGTTCTCTATTTAATAGTTATTTCTTGTTAGTTTTTCCATAAGAAAACATAAATGATATCCTAGCAATAAATTATTACTCAGTTCCTGAAGAAAACGAATTAATATTACTGTCACGAGAAACAGTTATCAAACAAGGTGACCTGAAGAATGACACTGATATGAGGACGGGTAGATAATGTTATTAGATAGTGTTATTAGGTAGGTGGTTCTTTGTCTGGTTGAGTACCATGTATGCTAATGTTTTTGATTATTATTATTATTATAATCAAGGGGGAAGCGCTAAACCCGGAGGATTATACAGCGCCTGGGGGGGGATGTGGAAGGCATTCAGGCTTAATTCGGGGAACTGGAGCACAGATCCAATTCCCTAAATCAAGAGCCCCTCACCAACATCAAGGAACCTTCCTTGAGGGGTTAATGTTTTTGAAATTTTGTAGTTTCCAGTATTATGTTTCCTGGCTAAGATATGTTGACGAAATTTGTTTTTCTATCCGAGACGTTTCAATATCCAGGTCCTCTGTCAAGCCATCAATAAAGTTTACACTTGAACTCGAGAAAGACAATAATAATAATAATAATAATAATAATAATAATAATAATAATAATAATAATAATATTTACTACAAGAACATGTACAAGGTATATAGTCCTAGCTGATATCAATGTCATACTATTACATTGAAAGCCGCTTGTTATGCAGAGTATTTCGGGTAAATTAGGTCAGTTTTGTCCCAGGATGCGACCCACACCAGTAGGCTAACACTCAAGTACTCATTTTACTGATGGGTGAACATAGACAACTGGTGTAAGGAAACACATCCAGTATTTCCACCCCTTCGCCGGGAATCAAACCCGGACCCTCACCGTGTGAAGCGAGAGCTTTTGCCACCAAGCCACGGGGACAAGCTTCCTCTCATGGACATCTTCCTGTGCAGGTCTCCCGACACTGATAAGCTTCTTTTCAAAGTGTAAGGAAAACCTACCAACAAAGACGATCTTATACACTTTTATTCTCACGAAGACACACACTAAAAGAGGTGTAATTTTTGGCTTCTTCTTGAGAGTTTATCGCACCTCCAGCCCTTGTTTCCTTGAAGAAGAATGTACCTACATAACACAAGCCTACACACGTCTTCATTTTCCATCTTTCTTTATCTGGGATTGCAGACTCAAGGTGCAAGCTATCTGGAGTTTACCTGGAGAGAGTTCCGGGGGTCAACGCCCCCGCGGCCCGGTCTGTGACCAGGCCTCCTCCTCAACAAATCTCCCATGGAACAATCCTCTCAGCAATTCATAGTGCTCCCATGTGGTGATGTTGCCGCTAATACTCGCCAGCTTCTTGCTAAGAGCGACATATGTGTTCCCACTTGAAACACATCATCTATCAAAGACCTCACTGCAAACATAGTCCCACACTTAACTTTCACAGCGGATGTTAACACCATCCCCTGTGGATACTATCCCAAGAAATATGTAAGGAAAACAAGCAGAAACCTTTCAATCCTCCTGAACGAACATCAAAACGCCAGCAACACAGACGACTTAATTAAGGTATGCCTGTGTCTTCCACAGGAACTATACGTTAAGGTACGCCTGTGTCTTCCACAGGAACTATACGTTAAGGTACGCCTGCGTCTCCACAGGAACTATACGTTAAGGTACGCCTGTGTCTTCCACAGGAACTATACGTTAAGGTACGCCTGCGTCCTCCACAGGAACTATACGTTAAGGTACGCCTGTGTCTTCCACAGGAAGTATACGTTAAGGTACGCCTGTGTCTTCCACAGGAACTATACGTTAAGGTACGCCTGTGTCTTCCACAGGAACTATACGTTAAGGTACGCCTGTGTCTTCCACAGGAACTATACGTTAAGGTACGCCTGTGTCTTCCACAGGACCTATACGTTAAGGTACGCCTGTGTCCTCCACAGGGACTCTGCGTTAAGGTGTGCCTGTGTCCTCCACAGGGACTCCACGGGACATTTGATGAATTGAGATGAGGCCCAGCTCGTCCTCACCGAACAAGGTCTTAGACTCCGACTATATCTGGAAGCCTCGCTAATCGCCGTGACCGACACCATAGAACATAATACGTAATGGAAACTACAAAATTTCAAAAGCATTAGCATAAATGGTACTTTACCAGGAAAGCCCCACTTACCTAACAACACAGGAGTCACGTGATCATATTGTTTACCTGTCTTCATTCCAATATGGCGTTTTTCAGGCCGTTATGAGTCACTCACACCCCATCTCTGCGTATATATACTTCCTTTTTAACCAAGGGATGTTAGAAGTGATCAAGGTCCCAGAACCGTAACGTTTTCTAATAAATATGTTTTAATGTTTGCTTACATGTCTTTCTAAACCACTTAGTGTGATATTCAAAATTCTAGAGAAAGCGGTTTATTGCCCAATAGTTAAGTATCTTAACGGCAAAAACATTCTTCATAGTTAACAATAAGGTTGAAGGACACAAATGCAACTAATGTGGCAACGTTTCGCTCTCCAGGAGCTTTATCAAGCCATTACAAACAATACATGGACACAGAGGGTATATAAAGGCTCAGAGTGAGGTGCAATACTAGTGAGGTAACATTTCGATGTTCACTGTGGTGTGTGGTTAGTAGTAGTAGTAGTAGTAGTAGTAGTGAGTAGTAGTAGTAGTAGTAGTAGTAGTAGATAGTATCTGTAATAAAAGTAGAGTGACAAATATGGTAGAGCAATTAATTCGTACATGAGTAAAAGGATATAAAAGCTATTACTTGGGTAACATAAAAATAGGTTGGCAAATATAGACTGGAAAGAGGCAGCTTGTTCCAGTGTTCACTCTCTGTAATGTGCTTTGTGTAGTATAACAGGAGAGACTATGTGATGGCAGGGTTTACTGTTTTCAGAGGATTCTTGCTAAGACTTCGGAGATGGTGAAACTGCCGTTGTTTTGTTTAATTGTATTAGAAACAGCGATCAGTGCTGATTCGAGGCACTTGCGTCTGCGGAAAATAGTTTCTTTGATCACTAATTGGGCGTTTCTGAATTTCATGAGATGATTGGTGGAATTTCGGTGTTGTACACAGGCGTTGTTCAAGTTATCGTTCCTACATGCGTAAATGTGTTCATTGAGGCGGGTGTCGAGTTTTCTTGCTGTTTCACCTACGTAGATCTTGTCACAGCCTCCACAGGGTATAGTGTAAACAACTGCATTGACTGGTTCGTGGTGCTTGGATTTTGTCCTGGTTAGATCCTTGATTGAAGTGCTAGACGCGATGGCGACTCTGGTGTTAGCTTGTGGAAGTACTTTTGAGACGTTCAATGCAACCTGGCAAATTTGACTGAGCAGCCTGTTCCAAGTATTTCAATGCAGTTTCCAGTTCATTTTTATCGGGAGATGTGGTCTTCTCGAGGATTTGTATAACCTGTTCCATTATGTGTGGTTGATATTAAGGCAGAGAGGTCAAATAATAAGAGGCGGGAGGTGGTAGCTCTCACAGCGGGAGCTGTACCACATGTGCCGCGACACCCGCCTCAATGAACACATTTACGCATGTAGGAACGATAACTTGAACAACGCCTGTGTACAACACGGAAATTCCACCAATCATCTCATGAAATTCAGAAACGCCCAATTAGTGATAAAAGAAACTAATTTCCGCATACGCAAGTGCCTCGAATCAGCACTGATCGCTGTTTCGAATACAATTAAACAAAACAACGGCAGCTTCACCATCTCCGAAGTCTTAGCAAGAATCCTCCTGAAAACAGTAAACTCTGCCATCACATAGTCTCTCCTGTTATACTACACAAAGCACATTACAGAGAGTGAACACTGAAACAACCTGCCTCTTTCCAGTCTATATTTGTCCAACCTATTTTTATGTTACCCAAGTAATAGCTTTTATATCCTTTTACTCATGTACGAATTAATTGCTCTACCATATTGTATTACTTTTGTCACTACTACTACTACTACCACCACTACTACTACTACCACTACTACCACTAGTGAACATCGAAATGGTACCTCACTAGTATTGCACCTCACTCTGAGCCTTTATATACCCTCTGTGTCCATGTATTGTTTGTAATGGCTTGATAAAGCTCCTGGAGAGCGAAACGTTGCCACAATAAAAAGTCACATTAGTTGCATTTGTGTCTTTTACTTTACATATTGTCGGTAATTCTACCAACTTTATTACAACAATAAGGTTTCAGATCTTACTCTACCAATACCTCCCTAATCAATATGAAAGACAACCTGGGAATTAAAATGTCGTTAGAGAATCTCATAGGCATGGCGACGTTACTGAAACTTGTAAGAGGCATTAGATATAGTTAACGATATTATGTAAGAAATTACAAGCTATCGGCTAGACTCTGTAAAATGTTTTAGTCCTACCTGAGCAACAGGAAACAAATTGTCAAGATTAATTATTAGGTAAGACACATATGCAACAGTTAGGTATCTTTATTTCGAAACGTTTCGCCTACATAGTAGGCTTCTTCAGTCGAGTACAGAAAAGTTGATAGAAGCAGAAGAGACTTGAAGACGATGTAATCAGTCCATCACCCTTAAAGTTTTCGAGGTGGTCAGTCCCTAACAACCTGTCGGTATTTTATACCATTTTAATGTTCAATCTGTCAGACACTGCAACACAAGGGTATCTTGGTACAGACCTGCAATCAACTTCGACAACCTCTACTAGTGAGAACGGCTAGATTTGAGAGGGACCTGACCTCCCAAAGTGACCTACGTCTCACCTCCTGGCGCTATATAAGGCTCCATCCTGTCACTTGAACTCCATATTGTTTCAGACAACGGAACAATGCTCTTCTCCAGACTGAGGGACTGACCACCTCAAAACTTTAAGGGTGATGGACTGATTACATCGTCTTCAAGTCTCTTCTGCTTCTATCAACTTTTCTGTACTCGACTGAAGAAGCCTACTGTGTAGGCGAAACGTTTCGAAATAAAGATACCTAACTGTTGCATATGTGTCTTACCTAACAACCTGTCGGTATTTTATACCATTTTGATGTTCAAGATTAATTATATAGAGTCAGAACCCCACGTGAGATTCCCCAAGGTAGTATTCTGTTACCCTTGCTATTTTTACGTAATGTGAATGACATAAAGGTGTCAAATGTAAGCTTCTGCTGTATGCAGACGACAGCGCTCTGCTAGACTCAATTTGCATTATCCTTGGTAACTTAAACATATATTACTATTTGGAATAAAATCACAGTAAACAGGTAATATCACAATATACAAAGCAACCACTGTGAAAAAATAGTAAACTACCAAGTATTTTCATAATTTCTCACATTATCAAGGGCCTGAAAAATGTAATGGAACAACAGAAGACTTATAAGGCTGAGATATCACCTCACATACGACATTACACCCATCCCAGTATGATGCTGTGGGAGTGTCAATGACCTGTCAAACAATAGCTTAAATTCGTCTAATTTTTTATTAATTATTAATCAATCTACTTTGTATAACCCTGAACTAATATTGGTATTAAAATCAATACTATTTTTTATGAAGCTTGATTCAATTATATTTCTCCCAACAACACACCTGTTTGATACAACTTTCTCGGCCATTTGAAAATCAGTTAAGTGGTTAAAATCTCTCATATGAATAAACAGAGCATTCAACTTGTCTAGTTATAATGCTATATTTACGTTGTAATCTTAGTACAAGGCTTTTTCCAGTCTGATATTAATAAACTTTATTAGTTTTTTTTACAGGGAGTTTTATAGACACAGGCATCAGCATTTTTTGAGGAATTTTTAATCAATTTTTTTTTACTCTATCAAGATTATTAAACATAACTTTGATTTTAAAATTCTTAAATAGGGAAGGTATATCAAAAAGTTTTTCATGGTAAGGGAGAACCAAAGTATGATTGTTCCTTTTTTAATTGTAAAATGTATTTCAAGCTATTTTAAAGGATTAACTACAGGTATGATGTTCACTGTGTTGGTTGGGTGGGAAGAGAGACAGGAAGGCTGGCTACAGTACGGTGTATTACTACAGATGTGAGAGTACCGGTAGGTGTATCCCCGGCAGCGTTGATGCCACTACCCAGTACCAGGATACTAATGGTGGAGCTGGAGTTGAATGATGTGAACGATGCTGGTGTCAGTGAGGCTTGTCATGTGGTGCGGAAACTTCATCCAAAAGGAAGGTGAGTCTTTCATTGTTGTACTTGTGTACATGCTCTCAGATACACTTCACAGTACTAGTAAAATAGGAAGAACATACTCTCACATACACCAACATATCTTGCAGGAAAACATAAAAAAAAACATACTGTGACAAATACATCTTATAAGAAAGCAGGAAGAACATATTCCTAATACAGCCATTCTTCCCTGTACAGCAACATTGACCATTGCACCACATCGCTGCTGATGACATGACAAAGGCACCACATGATTTATGGTGATTCATAACAACTACACTGCGTCTCTGCTATTGGCACACATGACAACTGCACCACATTGTTATTATTGGTAAACATGACGACTTTGCCACTTCTTCTATTGCTCTTAGAATTATTTTTGGCTGTCCCAAATCTACAAAGGTTTTTAATATGAGGAAGGAGCTTGGTATTTCTACTACCAATGATAGGATTGTTGAGATTAACACTGTACTGGGTATTAGAATGTTAAGAAATGAACCAGACACTGTCACAGCGTCTAGAAGTAAATACACACAGATCTAAATGGATTGTGAAAACGTGCAATTACATTAAGTTTTATAACCTGTATGAACTGTATCACTGTAGACAACAAGAGCATTTCACCCCTCCATGGAAGATGTGTTCATTTAATATCACATACCTGCAAGTCCCTCCCAAGAAGCTCATTGCTAGTAATCCCTTCCTTAACTCAGTTGTTAAAGCAACTGCTCAAGAAGAAATTTCTCACCTAGCTGGTAGTAATAAGTTATCACAAGTTATATACACTGATGGATCTAAACAGGAGTCTTCTGGCAGGGCTGCATCTGCTCTTGTTGCCACCTCCCTTGTTGAGAACGATAATAAACTTGTTGAACTAGGCATAAGAATTAACAACTGGGCGTCTGCATTGCAAACTGAATTGTTTGCAATCGTAATGGCGCTAAAGTTAACTTATGACACTGAGCTTAACTCTATCATCATTACTGATTTTATGTCATCATTGAAAGCTCTTACCTGGAGTTTACCTGGAGAGGGTTTCGGGGGTCAATACCCCCTCGGCTAGGTCTGAGACCAGGCCTCATGGTGGATCAGGGTCTGATCAACCAGGCTATTACTGCTGGCAGCACGTAAGCTGAAGTACGAAACACAGCCCGGTTGGTCAGGTACTGACTTTAGGTGCCTGTCCAGTGCCTTAAAGACAGCCAGGGGTCTATTGGTAATCCCCCTTATGTATGCTGTGAGGCAATTGAACGGTCTTGGGTCCTGGACACTTGTGTTGTCTCTCAGTGGTGTCCCTGCTTTACATCGGGGAAATGTTTCACCTCATGCCGAATTTTTTGCTTTCATATGGAGTGATTTTCGTTTGCAGGTTTGGTACCAATCCCTCCAGGACCTTCCAAGCGTATATTATCATGTATCTCTCTCGCCTGCATTCCAGGGAATAGAGATCAAGGATCTTCAACCGTTCCCAGTAATTTAGGTGCCTTATGGTACTTAAGTGTGCCATGAAAGTTTTTTGTACACTCTCCAGGTCTGCAGTGTCGCTAGCTTTGTAGGGGGCCGTTAGTGTTCAGCAGTATTTCAACCTAGAGAGCACAAGCGATTTGAAGAGAATCATCATGGGCTTTGCATTCCTACTTTTGAAGGTTTCTCATTATCCATCCTATCATTTTCCTAGCAGATGAGCTAGATACATTATTGTCGTCTTTGAAGGCGAGGTCCTCTGACATTAGCACTCCCAGGTCCTTCACATTGCTTTTCCGCTCCATTGTATGGTTTTAATTTGTCGTATACCGATACATTTTTAATTTCTTCAAGTTTCCCATATCTGAGTAGTTGAAATTTCTCCTCGTTGAACTTCATATTGTTTTGAGTGGCCCATTCGAAGATTTGGTTGATGTCCGCTTGGAGTCTCGCGGTGTCTTCGAAGGAGGTCACTGCCATGGTGATCAGGGTGTCATCCGCAAAGGATGACACGAAGCTATGGCTTACATCTCTATGTCAGAAATGAGGATGCGAAATAGAATGGGAGAGAGTACAGTGCTTTGTGGAACAGAGCTTTTCACCATGGCTGCCTGGGACTTTACTGTTTACTATTACTCTTTGTGTTCTATTTGTCAGGAAGTTATAGATCCATCTAACAACTTTTCCCGTTATTTCTTTATCCCGCATTTTGTGTGCTATTACACCATGGTCACACTTGTCGAAAGCTTTTGCAAAGTCTGTGTATACTACATCTGTATTTTGTTTATCGTCTACAGCATCCAGGACTTTGTCATAGTGGTCCAGTAGCTGGGACAGGCACGAGCGCCCTGCTCTAAACCCGTGTTGCCCTGGGTTGTGTAATTGATGGGTATCTAGGTGGTTGGCGATCTTGCTTCTTAGAAGCCCCTCAAAGATTTTTATGATATGGGATGTTAGTGCTAACGGTCTGTAGTTCTTTGCAATTGCTTTACTGCCACCTTTGTGTAGTGGGGCTATGTTTGTTGTTTTTAGTGTGTGTGGAATGACCGCTGTGTCCATGCTCCCTTTCCGTAAAATCCTGAAGGCACACAATAGGGGCTTCTTGCAATTCTTGATGAACACGGAGTTCCACAAGTCTGGGCCTGGGGCAGAGTGCATGGGCATGTCATTTATTGCCTCTTCAGAGTCTTGTGGAGCTAGGATAATATCCGAGATTTTTGAGATGACCAAATGTTGGGTTTCTTTCATAAAGAATTCATTTGGATTGTCAACCCTTAATCTGGGCAGTGGCTCGCTCAACACTGAGTCATATTGGAACTTTATTATCTCACTCATTTCTTGGCTGTCATCTGTGTATGTCTCATCCCGCCTAAGCAGGGGCCCAATACTGGATTTTGTTTTTCCCTTAGATTTGGCATAAGAGAAGAGTAATTTGGGTTTTTCTCATTTTCCTATATGACTTTTAGCTTTTCCTGTGATTCCTGTCTCCTCCTTCACAGAGCTACTGTGTGGACCCACTCAGTAGCTCTGTGACTCCTCGCCTTCGTCTGTAGGGAGCGTCTCTCTCTTTCTACTTTACATCTTCTCTTTCTTTTTCTTAATGGAATGTGTCTTGAGCAGATCTCAAGAACCACAGAATTTATTTTTTCAAGGCAAAAGTTCGGGTCCGTGTTGTTTAGGATATCTTCCCATCTTGTTTCATTTAGGACATGGTTTACTTGATCCCATTGTATGTTTTTGTTATTGAAATTGAATTTCGTGAAGAGACTTTCATGACTGCGGTTATATTACATATTAGATCGTCGTTGTTAGTGAAGATGAGGTCCAGCGTATTTTCTAGTCTTGTAGGCTCTAATATTTGCTGGTTTAAGGTGAATTTGTTGCAGAGATTTAATAGTTCGTGTGTGTGTGAATTTTCATCTGAGCTGCCTCCCGGGGTGATCTCTGCTAAAACATTGTTTGCTATACTCCTCCATATTAGGTGTCTCAGGTTGAAATCTGTTAGTAGAAAGATGTTTGGGGCAGGAGTTGGGAGATTTTCTAGACAGTGGTCATTTTTCACAAGCTTCTCCTGGAATTACTGGAAAGTTGCATCTGGAGGCTTGTATACTATCACAATGACAAGGTTCTGATTTTCTGTCTTTACCGCCAAAACTTCAACTACATCATTTGAGGCGTTTATTAGTTCTGTGCAAATGAGTTACTTTGTGACGTACAGGCCAATCCTCCCTTGTTGCCTTTTTAGTCTGTCGCAGACATAATGATCCTTTTTGTGGGTCTCTGTGAATGCTGCAAACATTGCATTTGACTCCGTGAGCAGTCCCTTGATGTAAGGAATTTTGTTGTTTTTTGACAGACACACAGATGATGATCAAACTAAATGCAAATTATGTGGTCAGGCATATGGTCACTGTCTTGAACACTATGTGCTTAATTGTCCACTCATTGAGGAATATAGAGACAGACAGTATAATAACCTATGTGACATGTCAAGATATCTTATTAATGAAAATAAGATACCAGATATACTAAGCAAATTTCCTAAATTTGCTTGTAACAGATAGGTAAACTGCAGATATGGAGATATTAATCCAAATGTACGCCTGTCAACCGTTTTGGGGCCTAGTTCCTAGGCCATTAATGTAGCCATATGCTCTCGCGCTACCGTTCACAGGACGGATATGGGGTACACAATAAACTATCCACTTCGGTGGCACCACATTACTGCTAATGACAAATGTTACAACTGCACCTCATCTCTGCTATTTACAGTAGTGATATTGTTACTACAGTGATGGTGGTGGCGGTGGAGGTGACAGAAGTGATGAAAGAATAGAGATGTTATGACAACAATGATTGTGGTAGTGAGAGTGATGATTGTGGTAGTGATAACTGTAATGTTTGTAGTAAGAGATGTGACAGTGGAACAGGTAACTACAGGTGTATCATCATCATCAGGTTCTGGATGATCAGGTGTACCAACAGCACAGTGACAGAGGTGGGCATCCAACACATGATCCGTGGGCTGGCTCGTCGCCGTGTCAAAGTGAACTGGTTAGAAATAGTTACCAGCGTTACTATCACACCGGAGCAGCAGCAACCCCTTATCACCATGGCTAAGACCACTCTCGAGAGTCGCTTTACCATGTAAGTTGTATGTATTATCCCTTCATGGTACCTACTATCATGGTACCTACTATCATGGTACCTATTATCATGGTACCTACTATCATGGTACCTACTATCATGGTACCTACTATCATGGTACCTACTATCATGGTACCTACTTCATGGTAGTCACCTTCATTCCATCCTTCATCATATGTTAGCTACCTTGATATAAAAAAAATACTTTATTAGTAGCTATGTTTTCAAGGAAGCCTTCATTGCACCTATCATTATGGTTGCTAACTTAGCAGGTAGCTATCTTCATTGTTAATTCCATCATGGTAGCTACATTCATCATAGCGACATTCATGTTAGCTAAATCTACCATCATGGTAGTTACCATGAATTTCACTACATTCATCGTAGTGACATTCATGGTAGCTACCTTTACTGTACCTACCATCATGGTAGCTCCTTTTATTGTACCAATCATGGCAGCTACCTTTACTGTATATATCATGGTAGCTACTTCTTTGTAACTACCATCTTGGTAGGTACTTTCATTGTAAATACCACCATGGGAACTACTTTCATCGTAACTACCATCATGGTTTCTAGCGTCACTGTACCTACCATTTTGGTAGCTACTTTCATTGTCCCTAACATCATGGTTTACCTGGAGTTTACCTGGAGAGAGTTCCGGGGGTCAACGCCCCCGCGGCCCGGTCTGTGACCAGGCCTCCTGGTGGATCAGAGCCTGATCAACCAGGCTGTTGCTGCTGGCTGCACGCAGACCAACGTACGAGCCACAGCCCGGCTGATCAGGAACTGACTTTAGGTGCTTGTCCAGTGCCAGCTTGAAGACTGCCAGGGGTCTGTTGGTAATCCCCCTTATGTGTGCTGGGAGGCAGTTGAACAGTCTCGGGCCCCTGACACTTATTGTATGGTCTCTTAACGTGCTAGTGACACCCCTGCTTTCATTGGGGGGATGGTGCATCGTCTGCCAAGTCTTTTGCTTTCGTAGTGAGTGATTTTCGTGTGCAAGTTCGTACTAGTCCCTCTAGGATTTTCCAGGTGTATATGATCATGTATCTCTCCCTCCTGCGTTCCAGGGAATACAGGTTAGGAACCTCAAGCGCTCCCAATAATTGAGGTGTTTTATCTCCGTTATGCGCGCCGTGAAAGTTCTCTGTACATTTTCTAGGTCGGCAATTTCACCTGCCTTGAAAGGTGCTGTTAGTGTGCAGCAATATTCCACCTAGATAGAACAAGTGACCTGAAGAGTGTCATCATGGGCTTGGCCTCCCTAGTTTTGAAGGTTCTCATTATCCATCCTGTCATTTTTCTAGCAGATGCGATTGATACAATGTTATGGTCCTTAAAGGTGAGATCCTCCGACATGATCACTCCCAGGTCTTTGACGTTGGTGTTTCGCTCTATTTTGTGGCCAGAATTTGTTTTGTACTCTGATGAAGATTTAATTTCCTCATGTTTACCATATCTGAGTAATTGAAATTTCTCATCGTTGAACTTCATATTGTTTTCTGCAGCCCACTGAAAGATTTGGTTGATGTCTGCCTGGAGCTTTGCAGTGTCTGCAATGGAAGACACTGTCATGCAGATTCGGGTGTCATTTGCAAAGGAAGACACGGTGCTGTGGCTGACATCCTTGTCTATGTCGGATATGAGGATGAGGAACAAGATTTGAGCGAGTACTGTGCCTTGTGGAACAGAGCTTTTCACCGTAGCTGCCTCGGACTTTACTCTGTTGACGACTACTCTCTGTGTTCTGTTAGTGAGGAAATTATAGATCCATCGACCGACTTTTCCTGTTATTCCTTTAGCACGCATTTTGTGCGCTATTACGCCATGGTCACACTTGTCGAAGGCTTTTGCAAAGTCTGTATATATTACATCTGCATTCTTTTTGTCTTCTAGTGCATTTAGGACCTTGTCGTAGTGATCCAATAGTTGAGACAGACAGGAGCGACCTGTTCTAAACCCATGTTGCCCTGGGTTGTGTAACTGATGGGTTTCTAGATGGGTAGTTACATTCATGGTAACTACCTTTATTGTACCTACCATCAGGGTACCTACCTTTATTGTACCTACCATCAGGGTACCTACCTTCACAGTATCTACCATCAGGGTTCTTACCTTCACAGTACCTACCATCAGGGTACCTACCTTTATTGTACCTACCATCAGGGTTCTTACCTTCACAGTACCTACCATCAGGGTTCTTACCTTCACAGTACCTACCATCAGGGTACCTACCTTTATTGTACCTACCATCAAGGTACCTACCTTCACAGTATCTACCATCAGGGTTCTTACCTTCACAGTACCTACCATTAGGGTACCTACCTTTATTGTACCTACCATCAGGGTTCTTACCTTCACAGTACCTACCATCAGGGTTCTTACCTTCACAGTACCTACCATCAGGGTACCTACCTTTATTGTACCTACCATCAGGGTTCTTACCTTCACAGTACCTACCATCAGGGTACCTACCTTTATTGTACCTACCATCAGGGCACCTACTGTTGAGGAATGGCCTTACCAGCTAAGATATAATTTATAAATATAAATATATTGAACACTTAGCTGATAAAAGACAGCAAATCGTCTACACAGCCGCCCCTGCAGACGAGGTCTAGAAGCTGTCGAAACCATCTCAACATGGGCTGTCAAGAAATATAATTTGTAAGATTATAAATTACCCCTAGGGGGTGTTATGTCAGCATATTTCATTCACTGATGGCTGACAAAATACCTACTTGTTTGGACTCAATGGTCCGCATATCACCGGGGTTTATGGTAAGTGACTAACTCACGACTTTATACTCAACTGCGCAGTCAATAGTAGTACATCACGAGTTAGAACACTTACCTGGGTATATGTATCTGACCCGTAATTACGCCCGGATATCCGTTGAGTTGATTGAAGAATAGTGTTCTTTGAAGAATGTTGCACTACACTCTGTGGATCGCAACACTCGTTGTTACACTGTTCATCAATAATTGTTCACACAATATCACTAAGAAGTTGATCACACTTCTCTGTAAGTGTTTATCGTGTTTTGTGAGACACTTTGTCCACACTAACGCACAGAACAGTGTTCTTTGTTGGTTATCCTAGCATCAGTGTCACTCTCTGTAGAGTCAAAAGTAATCTGAAAGACGCCACAGCGCTCCATGCCGTCACTGCCCCCAGCACAAAAAAAAGCTGACCTAGTACTCCTTGCTTCCTTGCCACTTCCTCGATGAAGCAAAGCAGAATGTTTGATTCTTGCTGTCTTAAGCATAGACAACAATGTCCACTATCTTTACTATGGTAATAAAGTGGGAGCAGGATTTTCCTTAATTGTCCTGCTAAAGTAAGAGATGCACTGTCTCTTATAAAAATACACTTTGCAACACTGGACTGCAAGGAGCAGAGGTCATGTGACCACGCATATGGCATCTGTGATCAATTACTCACTCTAGCAGTAAACAAGATACTCGCCCCTTCTGAGAGGGCTTGGCCCCTCAGGGCTGAAAGGGGCTGAAGGGGCTGAAGGGGGCTGAAGGGGGCTGATACTCCCCTCCTGGAGAAAATTTCTCCACACCTACCTTCATTGCACCCATCATCAGGGTACCTACCATAATTGTACCTACCATCAGGGTACCTACCTTCATTGTAACCACCCTCATGTAGCTACCTTCATTTTTTCTTCCATCATGGTAGCTTCCTTCATTTTACCTTCCATCATGGTAGCTACCTTCACTACACCCACCTATCATGGTAGCTACCTTCATTGTATCTTCTATCATAATAGCTACGTTCATTGTACCTATCATGGTAGGTACCTTCGTTGTACGTTCCATAATGGTAGCTACCTTCATTTTCCATCTATCATGGTAGCTACCTTCGTTGTACCTTCCATCATGGTAGCTACCTTCATTATACCTATCATCATGGTAGCTACCTTCATTTTCCATTTATCATGGTAGCTACCTTCATTATACCTGTCATCATGGTAGCTACCTTCATTTTACCATCTATCATGGTAGCTACCTTCATTATACCTATCATGGTAGCTACCTTCATTGTACCTTCCATCATAATAGCTACCTTCATTGTACCTTCCATCATGGTAGCTACCTTCATTGTACCTTCCATCATAATAGCTACCTTCATTATACCTATCATGGTAGCTACCTTCATTGTTCCTTCCATCATAATAGCTACCTTCATTATACCTATCATAATAGCTACCTTCATTATACCTATCATGGTAGCTACCTTCATTATAGCTACTACTACAGATACAGGTGTAGTCTTGTGGCCTGAACAACTGTTCTCAGCAGTTAGCACGGTAAACAACTGTTCTCAGCAGTTAGCACGGTAAACAACTGTTCTCAGCAGTTAGCACGGTAAACAACTGTTCTCAGCAGTTAGCACGGTAAACAACTGTTCTCAGCAGTTAGTAAATATTTATATTAATTTTATTATTCCTTCGCCAAAAAGCATGCAAGTGTATGTACGACGTATATATACACATATATGTGCAAGAGACACAGTGAGAACTGTGAGTAACCAGACTCACGAAACCGTAATGACACGATTGCAAACAAACCGTACCACGGGCGGGGATAGAACACGCGACGGTCTGGAGTTTTGAGACTCTCTGATCGCGGGTTCTATCCCCGCCCTTGGTATGGTTTGTGAGCAACCAGACTTGAGGTAATAATAATAATACTAATAATAATAATATCTTTATTTACTACAAATACATGTACAAGGTATACAGGTCTAGCTGACATCAGTGACATACTACTATATAGAAAGCCCCTTGTTATGCTGAACATTTCCGTCAAATTAAGTCAGTTTTGCCCCAGGATGCGACCCACACCAGCCCTGGAGTTTACCCAGGTACCCATTTTAAACTGATGAGTGAACAGGGACAGGGACAGCAGGTGTTTGATGGAAACCCAACCCTAATGTTTATCAGCCGTACCAGAGGAGATTCAAACCCCGAACCTCAGTGTGA